TGCTGCTGCTGCTGCTGCTGCTGCTGCTGCTGCTGCTGCTGCTGCTGAGATGCTGCACCAGGACAGGCATCTCTGTGCACTTTCTTTGTGTCTTTGTGGAGATAGAATGAAGGGCTGTTCATTTTCATTCATCGCTTTTCATTCAGTAAAGAGGGTTTAGCCTCTTAACTCTTCCAGTTAAGACGTCACTTCTGGTCCAAACTTTTCAAATTTGTCATTGAGGTTTGAGGCTGTGGCTCAGAGACGCACAAGTTAACAGGAAAACAGAAATGTACCTTTTGCTTGTCCATCAGGGACCCGGCCTATGGTTGCGGATGGGGGATTGGCGATTGAGGAATACCCTCCTGTGTGAGCATATCCCCTTACATGTCTTTTACCTGCCTACAGGAGCCGGTTTCCTGCAGCCTTCAGGCAGGTGGATCCAATCTCCCTTCACTGACTGTTCTCACGGGCAAAGCTGGAGCCCCATGCCTGCACCTCTGCAGTGGAGCCCCATGCCTGCACCTCTGCAGTGGGCAGGCTGCTGAGAGGAAGCAGGCTTTGAGCAGATTGTATGGTGTGGCATGCTGTTTGGGTTCACCGGAGTGGCTTCCACTTCTGGGAAGGACAGAGTTTTGACTTCATGGTGACCTGAGCTCAGGCAGAACAGCTTCGTGGACTTAAGCTCTGCCCAGTAAGCTGGCTCTTTCCTAAGGTCCCTTCTGTTTGAAAATAATTCTTTGCAGAGAAACTCTCTGGTGTAATGCTGACAGGGTACCTAGGATGGTACCAGAAATACAATGATCAAAATTTTTTTAAAAAAATGAATGACATGATAGTATTGACAATTATGGTGGCATTCTTAAAAGTATATTAAGCACTAGGCTTTTATTCTAAGTTTCTTGTGTGAATTAATCCATTTCAACTCACACACTAAATTCATGACGTAATTATTTAGTGCTACCCATAGTTTTCAGACGAGGGAACTGAGGCATGAGAGACACTGTGAACTCACAAGCTAGCGGCTAAGTGATGGAGATGATACTCAGAGCGAGGTGGAAGAGGTGCATGTGTGTGCATGTGTGTTCAAGTGCATGTGTGTGCATGTGAGGTCAACATTGGATGTCCTTCCGTTGCTCTCTGCCTTACCGTTTGAAGCAGGGTCTTACACTGAACCTGTGGCTTGTCCATTTGGTTAGAGTGGCTGCCAATGAGCTTCAGAGATCCAACTGTACTGGGATTACAGTTGTGGGAGGCCATGGCCAGCTTTTATGTGGGTGATGGGAATGTAAATGCTGTGTGGCAGGCTCTTTCCTTACTGAGACACCTTTCTATTTCCAGAACAATTCTCCATGATCCTCAATGCCATTCAGCTACTTTATAGCCTAAAAATGTCAATTTAACCAGAGAGTAGGGAATGTAGTTGAGTGGTAGGGTGTTTACCTACCGTGTGTGAGGCCAGGTTACATCCCAGGACTACAAATAGTTATGAAGGATGTTAGTATATGGAAAGCCAATTTTAATAAGGATGCACATAAGAGACTATTATGAATAACCTCCTATCTAAATATGCAAGTATTTCTAAGTTCTTGGATTATACCATTGTACCATCTCCCTGAATTTACTAGAAGTTGTCTCAAGTTGAGGATGTATGGCTCACCCTGGGCCAAGTCTAGTGAACTTAACCTGAGTCTTACCGTAGATTTACTTTCTGTCCCTTTGGTGTGGGTTTTAAATCTGAACTTTTCTCTTGTTTATAATAAAGTCTAGCAGAAGTCAGAGGCGTAGACAACAATAATTTAATAATTAGAGTCGACACTCAAAGATCTGCATAGCTCTAGTCACACTGTTCCCTACGCCTTCACCAAACATCTTCAAGCTCCTAAAACAGGAAAGCCCTGCGAGGGACTGGTCACAATGTTTTTGAAATAAAACATTGTAAACAAACAAACAAACAAACAAGCAAAACAAACCCCGAGGAGAGTTCAGTAGCCAGGCTTTGTAATCTTGTATTTGGCAGCCTAATCTGGTGTCTCTTCTAAGAGTCTAGAAGGTCTAATGTTAGAAGCAGAGGGTCAAGGCGTTATGTCAGTGTGCTTAGAGGGACCTTGCTGACTAGGAGGCCCAGTGATGATGATGACTGAATTGGGAGGCTTGAAGAGGAGGCTGAGGGAGAGGAGAGGGCAATCGCCTGGTGTGGCTCTGTGTAATGCACCTTCAAGTCAGGCCCCAGGAAATATTCAACCCTTATGCTTCACGTTAGTCTCCTGCAAAGGGGGTTCCAGAACCTAACCGTATCTCTGAGTGAGGTGGGGAGACTTAATTACTGTTTATTAATCAACAACATGTTTTCAGATCCTTGGCACACAGTGAGAGCAAATAAATGTTGTGTAACAGCAAATTAGGAATGGTAAACATTTCTGTTGGCGCATTTGCTAGGCTGTTAGAGCCTTCTCTGCTGGAGGAGTGTGTGTGTGTGTGTGTGTGTGTGTGTGTATCTATGTGCAGATGCATGAATACGTGTCCATCACATGTAGGTGTGTAGGCCAGAGAACAATCTTGGCTGGTTTTCCTCAGGCCACAACCACCTTTTTTTTTTTTTTCTGAGACAGGGTCTCCCACAGGGTCTCCCACTGGCTTGGGACTTGCTAAGTAGGCTAGGTTGGTTGGGCAGCAAGTCCTAGGAACCAGCCTGTGGCCGGCTTTTGCTTTTCTAGCTGGCTTTCAGGTGCATGCTACCATGCCTAGCATTTTATTTTTTATTATTTTTAAAATTTTAAAAATGTGGATTCTGGGGATTGAACTCAGGGATTCATGTTTGCAAAACAAACACTTTATTGTCTGAGCTATCTCCCCAGCCATGGAGATATCCTTAAACACCTTCTGAAAAAACAAACTTGGTGTCCACCATTCAGAGAAGGATGTTTTCAAATGCCCTGACAACTTGATGTTTTGTGGTTCACTTGTGTCTAGAAAGCATTTCTAATTGTTGTTCCTTGGGGTTTGCCTTGTACGACTAGGTGCGCCTATTTGGAGGGACAGTGTAGTGTGTGTGTGTGTGTGTGTGTGTGTGTGTGTGTGTGTGTGTGTATTCATGCAGATGAGTGGGCACATGTGTTTGCATGCATGTGGAGGCTAGACGTTGGATATAGCTTTGGACCCTGGTTTTTGAGACCAGGTCTTTTCATTGGCCTGGAGTTCACCTATTCACTAGGTTAGCTGGCCAGGGAGCCCAGATAGCTGCTTGTCTCTACTTCCCCAGTGCTGGGTTATGAGCACCACAATGGCCTGCATTATACATGGATGCTGGGGATCACACTCAGGTCCTCCTGCCTGTACAGCCAGCGCTGTAACCAACAAAGAAGTCTCCCCAGCCCCATGGAGGGACATTTTTATGACCATTCAAGCAGAGGATGAAACAGTCCAGGCCAGCTGCTTACTCTAAAGTAAGTGGGTCTTTTTTTTTTTATTATCTACGTGCCTGCTGGTGGCTGCTTTAGGAGGAGAATAAATGGGTATTTCTGTGGGGCTGGAACTGTCTTTCCCACCTGGCTCACCCTTATACGGCTGAAATTGCTCAATAATTACACCTGTTGAGGACAAAAGTGATTGATTTGTCTGCAACCTTAGATGGGAAATAGATTTGCCTTTTCTT